CTTCTAGCTGGGGGCTTCACCAGATTCTGGAGTCAAGGAAGTCCCAGACTCCACATTCGAGGATATGCACATACCTATTAAAATTAGAAAATTCAAAAAATAACACAGGGCTGTAGAATTTCTGATTTGGGTTTTTTGAGGGTTTGAGGGGATGCTCCTGGCAGTCTGTCTGCCTGCCTGCCTTCCTGTCTGTCAGTCCGTAGTTCTCCTTGTTCATTTGTTTGCTTATAAAAGAACCTCAACATGTACCCTGCATTACCTTTGAACTCACAATCCTCTTGCCTCTTCTCCTCAAATGTTGGGATAACAGGTCTGCATCGCCTACCTGGACAGAACTTCTATTTAATAATGTCATGATCAATCTGCTTCTTGATACGAAAAGTCAAGAGTTACAGAATCCATCCATTACTTGAACTCAGATGTCTGAACCAGATAACTGGTTTCAACTAGTAAAATCTTATGGGACCTGACTATCTCACAGATGGCAACTATCAATTCTAGAACCTGTTTTAAATCACCCGAGTGTGTTAGAGAGCAAAGAAAAGTGGGCATTTCTCCATCGCTGACAGCGGAAGCGGGGCCAGCAATGGCTGAATTTCTCCTCAGCACTTTCAGCCTTAGAAGAACTTTATCTGTGCTGTACTCATGCTCAGGTATCGGCGAATCAATCCCACACCAGTTATGTTTTAAGGGGTTATTTATTTTGGGGGGTAAAACTTACATACACCATAAACCGTCAGGAAGGGAGCCTAGTCGCAGGAGCCAGGAGCAGGAGCCAGGAGCAAGCACCGGAACCAAGAGCCGGAACCAAGAGGGCCTGATCCGGATATGCTTCTCTTTTTAAAAGAGAAATATACCACGCCCCAGTGGGCTGGTATTTCAGCAGCTATTGGCTGACGGAGCGGAAGTCGCTCCCCGCTGCACTGTGGGCTCGTACTTCAGCAACTATTGGTTGAGGCAGCGGAAGTTACTCCCACAACACTCAGGGACTATAATGTCCATCGGAAACTGATCTAAAGAACTCACCTAGAGAACCAGCAGTTAGGACTTCAAGGTACCACAGCCACTGCACAGTGAGGAGGGAAGACAGAGAAAAGAAGGAACCAGAGAGAATACTGAAATTCTAGTCCACAACACTGTCGGTCCCTGAAGAGTGGACGGATGAGGCAGCTGTGAAGCAGCTCAAATGAAATCCAAGGAGCTGAACTACGGTGAGCAAGGGAGTGTGCAAGCCAGACACTGCAATAACCGGAGGTCATGTGCAACAGACCATTGTCTGAATCAAATTTTCAAAGAATCTAAATGACTAGAAAGACACTAAAAATACATAAAAGAATCAAGAACTTCCTATTGTTTAGATGTCGTTACTCCCCAAACTTACCTGTGAATTCTTCATAATTCATGCCCTGATTCTACCAATCTCTTTACTCTTTTAGTTGTACTTAAGTATATTTTGGGGAGCCTGGAGCACATGCCACAGTGTAACGGCGAATCAATCCCACACCAGTTATGTTTTAAGGGGTTATTTATTTTGGGGGGTAAAACTTACATACACCATAAACCATCAGGAAGGGAGCCTAGTCGCTGGAGCAGGAGCTGGGACCAAGTGCTGGAACCAAGAGGCCCAAGCCGAGATCTGTGGCTCTTTTTAAAAGAGAAATATACCACACCCCCAGTGGGCTGGTATTTCAGCGGCTATTGGCTGACAGAGCGGAAGGCGCTCCTGCAGCACCGTGGGCTCGTGCTTCAGCGACTATTGACTGAAGCAGTGGAAGATACTCCCGCAGCACCAGTGTACATGTTGGGGTCAGAGGACAACTTTTGGGAACTGGTTCTCTCATACCACCATATGGGTCCTGGGGATCGGGCTACGGACTTCCCAGCACATGCCTTTACCTGCTGAGCCGTTTCACTGACCCCTACTAACAATTCCTTATGCAAAAAACAATAAAGATATTTTATAATTGCAGTGACAAAGGATTTTAATTCTGTCCAGTGACAAAGAACCCTCAAAAATCAAAATAATTTTTAAAATTGTCCAGTAAAGTCAAAGGCCTTAGGAGTCCTAACTTTGAGAACGCCTATAAAGTAAGAAGACACAGCACCCTGAGGTCCTAGAATAAAGGCCAACAAAGACGTCAAAGGGACAGAGTAAAGAGTCACACTCCTGCTACCATTCAACATCCAAAAACCTAGAGTTGTCAAAGCAGCCCTGGAGGATGGAATTTAGTCACAAGTGTAACACAACATCTCAACAAGGGAAAAACAGCCATTCAGCCCTGGCTCATCCTACACACATACAAATCTCCTAAGGTAGGCTATCAGCTGAAACATGAAAGTTAAATTTATTTCTTTTTAAGAACTGGAGAAGAAAACGCAGGATATATCTGTCTTGAGACTGGATAAGGCCTCTTTTAAAAACCCATCACTGAAATGCAAAAGATTTTGCTTTCCAAAAATATCAAGAGAAGCTTGACGGCTGACATCCTTTCTAGAAAGAAAATTCCGGTAGCACATATCTCTGGTCAATGTATACAGGAAATATAAAGAGGAACAATCTAATAACTATGGTGCGGGAGAATTATCTGTATTCTGTCAATCATGTATTTTAATAAAACGCTGACTGGCCAGGCAGGCAGTATAGGCGGGTCAACCAGACAGGAAGTAGAGGTGGGGCAAAGAGAATAGAATAAGGTTACCGAGGAGGAAGGTCCCTCCAGCACTCCTGCGCAGATCACTGAAGAAGCAACATGTAAGCTGCCCCCGCTGGAAAAGGAACTGAGCCATTATGGCTAACATAGATGAGACTAATGGGTTAATATAAGTTATAAGAGTTAACAAGTAGCCTGACCTAATGAGCCAATCAGTTTATAACCTGATGTAGACTCCTGTGTGTGATTTTCTTTGGAACTTGCCGACTTGTTGGGGTGCCGGGCGGGACAGAAACCCCAACAAGCCCCCTCATATTACATAACTAAAAAATCAAAAGTTATTCAAGCAAAATAAATAAAACTAAAGCAAAGTCAAAGTTTCTCCAAAGATGATAGTATGTCAGTCAGTAGATACAGAAATAAATAGGGGGCATTCATGTCAGCTCCATTAAAGGTGAAACCATAGCAATTCACCTATATACATTCACAAGAACAGCCAGAAATCAGAGGGTAGGCGGTTCCTAACGTAGGGGAGAGAGTGAGAAACGAGAATGTTCATACTTGGAGTGGAATCTCAGTACCATGTAAATCTAGTAGACATATGTGTGTGTGCACACACACCTTTCTATACAGGTACACATACACACACACACACACACGAATAAACATGATAGTTAATCTGGATTGTTAATTTGACCAGATGCACACACTTAGAAAAGCAGCAAAGCATACTTCTGGGTGTGTCCCAAAAGATGTTCCCCAGATGGCCACCATGCAGGTAGGTGAGAGGATGGAGTTGGGAAGATCTGCTCTGGGGGGGGGGGGTGCTCTGCCCAGTGGGCAGAGAGCCTTGATGCAGTCAAAGGCAGAAGACAGGGGAATGTGCCCAAGCCTGCACTATACTCTCCCTAAGCAGGTGCAGTTTGGGCTGCTCCATGACCAGTGAACACTGGACTCTGGAGTCTTCAGCTTCTGCATGCAGCCCTGCATCAGTGACACTGCAGGGTACTCCCAGGCCTTAGCCTCAGGGGGAGGGGGCTGCATCATTGACCCCATCTTTTGGGGCAGAGTAAATGCTGCTCTCCCCAGATTTTCAGGCTGTAAATAACTATTGTGTGAGTGCCCAGCCTCTGTTCTTCTAAACCAGTCTAAGAAAATCCCCCTTACAATTTACATATGTGCAGGTACTCACACATACACAAGCACTTGTTCACATAGGAAGTGCTCTGAAGATGCCTGGTGAGTATAAAGGCCTATCCATGACCCAGAAATTTTCATTTTTGATGTTTCTTGGTTTAGTTTGTTCTTTCTTCCTTTTTTCATTCTCTTTCAGTTGTTCATTTGTGTCATTTGTGACAGGGTCTTACTATGTAGCTGAAATAGTTCTCCAAAAACAAACCTTCCTTACTCTACCCACCGAGAACCAGGATTACGGGCATGTATCGTACCTGTCTCCAAATCTCAGGTACTTTCTTAAGGGAAAAGAAAACAGATCAAAAGAAACCTCTTTTACTGTTGTTGCTGTTATGTTGTAATTGTTGTTTTGAGACAAGATCTTTCTGTGTAACAGTCCCGGTTGTTCTGGAACTCACTCTGTAGACCAGGTTGGCCTCAATATTTTCTTAAGAAGAATTAATTGAGAACTCTTCTCAAAGAGTTAACATCTGGTCAGGACCCAGGAGTGCGTGAATAATGACAAGTCTGGTGTCACAAGCTGTGCAATAAGAAAAAGACACTAGCATGCTCTGGGTGCAACAGGTGAGCCTCAAAGCATGCCAAGCCGCATACAAAAGTATAAGCTTGGTGCTAAATCATAGAATTTATACAAAATTCCCAGTGAGGCAAAGGCAAAGTTTATGGAGAAAAAAAAATCAGGTGACTGATTTTTTTTTTTTTGAGGAGGAGGAGAGTATAGAGCAGAAACATAATTTACTATGAAAGAGAAAGGGATATTCAAAGGTGGTAGCTACTCTTGGCATCTTGAACGAATGGTGTGGGTAGATAAAACATCTATCAAAAACCACGGGATGCTATGGTATGTTGATGTCTTCCTATGTTCCAGGGGAAATGACCAGAATCAAGCATGGCAATCAACTTAATGCAAGTGTGATGAAGTGATGAGGGGAACTTATTTTAAAATTTATCAGAATTTCAGACAGAGTGATGGACAGATGAAAAGATGCATAGATGGTGGGTATATGATGAAATAAGCATGGAAAATGTTCATTGGGAGACCCTAGTTGATCAACAAATGCCCTTTCAATAAGCTAAATCATTTTAATCTGTCTGCCTATCTGAAATTTATCAATCTAACATTTCAAAGAAAAGAAACAAATGACCCCAGGCTGCCTTCATTAGGATCTTTATGCTCCCAATGGACAGACCTGGCAATCTGCACATTTTACTGAGTTTGAATCATCTCCCTGATTAACCTCATTGTATTTGTCATCTCAGATCGGTTTTAAATATAATCCCATAAGATTAGAGGCTGTCAACAGTCTGCACGAAAAGCTCTCCAATTTGTGTATGTCTTGGAAGTGTATCAGCGCTGGGGAGGTGTACAGGACAGTTTCTAGATCTCCTCTTCAGAGAATACAGTGTGGATATAATTTCCTTCTTTGTCTGAAATAAAGCAGAATCTGAGGAGTTGCTTGGGCTAAAGAAATATGGGTGGAAGTCACTATCAGCCACTTCTGAAGAAAAATTTAAGAAGATCCACCGGTCCACCAGAAAATTTAAAGTGCTATACTTGTTATACCGGAGAGTGGGTTTCACAATACAAGATGGTATTTTTAAAAAATCCACTGTGCAGAGCTGTGTGTCGCTGAGTGCCCTGCTCAAGAAAGAGAGCAGAACTTGGTCTCGTTAACAATAGAAAGCAATGGCTTCTGGACCTCACAGGAGAAGGGGCGAGCACTTCAGGCTACAATCGATGTCCGGTTGTGGCAAGAGCACCAAAGTTCAAGCTCGGCTCAAAAGATGAATCTCTCTGTATCAACAGCAGTCTTCTGCGACGACCTCTCCAAAAGATGGAACCAAAGAACAAGGCCAAAAAGTATCTCCAGATATGACATCTGCAAAGATGTTTGTAAATACAGAGTTAGCAAAACGAAAAGCACAGCCTCCCCTCCCTTCAGATTAGGTCATTCCTAAGCTATAAAGCAGTTTGCCACAGCGGCCCAGAGGGGCACAATCACAATGATTTTCCATTTTTCTTCCCAAAGGACTCTTTTGACACTTGATTAAATTCCACGGCACCTTTGTCAATTCCTTAAGCCTGACTTCATCAACCTTCACCCAGACACTTCTGGATCATCATAGGTGCAAATGTATTGAGGCTGCAGGAGTCTGAGAATATCTTGAAATACTGAATTTGGCTAGGGGTGTGGGGGTGAGCCTGGGTGTTGAGGGGGTGTGGGGGTGTGCACGCACATGTGCCTGTGTGCATTTACAGGCAATAAATCTGTGTTGAATGTTTTCTTCAGCTACTCTCCAACCCATTCTTGGAGCATGTTTTCTCTCTGACCCCGGAGGACACCAATGTGGAAAGTCTGACTGGCAGCATCTACCTTCTCAGAAGCGGGAGACATATACACCTGAGCCTGACTTGTTACGTGGGTACCACAGATCAAATCCCAGGTCCCCATACTTGTAAAAAAATAAAAAATAAAAAAAAAGTTTAATAAGCCAACTTGCCAGTCCCTGGACTTGTTTTGTTAGTGACCACACGAAAAGCCACTTGACTTAGAACCCGACACATAACAGAACGCTTCCTCCCTTGTCCTTACCACCCCAAATGATGTCATCCCAAGTCCCAATTTTTTGCTGCAAACTCGGTGCAATGATAATGAACCTTCTACATAAGAAGCATTTCAAAACAGCAAAGCAAACTCTAACGTCATCTTTTCAGCTGCCAGAAAACATCTCTCAACACTAGAAGAGAGAGAGAGAGAGAGAGAGAGAGAGAAAGAGAGAGAGAGAGATTCTTTAGGATTGTGCTTTAGGATTGTGCTTAAGTACTCCAAGTGTGCTCTGTCAGAAGAAATCTATCTCCTGCCAAAGCTTCTCAAAGGCCACAGTCTCTTAGTGTCTATGTCTTTACAAGAGTGTAGTGTGTCACCCATGACTGTTGCTGTACCATACTGCTTACCATAACAATCCCTGTAAAATAGGCCACTGTTACCTATAGAAGCTATGCTGGCTTTGGTCACATATTTTATTCCCCATATTTTCAGCTCACAAACCCTTTCTATTAAAAGTAATTCTTTTTTTTTATAGTTATAGACATCAGGATAAATTCTGATTAACTAAAGCCAGAGCAAGCAAACAATTTGTTCTCAAACGCACTCCCACAACATGCTGAACTGACTTGTCCTGCGGGTGACAGATTGTTCTTTGACATTTTTCACTAATAAGTTTTGAATAAGACTGAGCCATCTACTATAGCATACGTTAGCTATTTAATTTAGCGGCCCACTGTTGCACGGTTAATCTGTGTATGAGGGAGCAGCAAAGGGACTGGCAAGTAAGAAGCATGCTAAATTCAAACTCTGAGAGTGCAGCAGGCTGTGCACGCCCCGCAAGTACCAGGCATGTACAGTCCCCGGGCTCCTCATCCTAAAAACAAGTCACTAATAACCAGCCCAAAGGACAGAGAGCTGAACTCTTAAAATATTAGCATCATGGTTCCTTAAACTAGACTGCACATAGTAGGTGGTGGTAGTGCACACCTTTAATCCCAGCACTTGGAAGGCAGAGGAAAGCAGATCTCCGGGTTTGAGGCCTGCCTGGTCTACATAGTTTCAGGACAGCCAGGGTTACACAAATTACCCAATGAGAGCACCAGTAGATATATCAGTGTCAACAGGGGAACTCTTACAAGGCCCCACCACTAATGAAGAGCTACAGGCAATTTATGGCTGCTGAGAAAGAATCATTCATAAGGTGAGCCCCTAATAGATTATCCAATCCCAAGTGTTCACCCCTAAACACATATACATATAAGTAATACTGAAGACTCAATAGGTCTATACACACACACACCTACACACACATCTGTGTGTGAACATATCCATATAAATATAGTATGTAACAGTAACAATTAAATAATAAAATGTTAATAATTGGAGAGGGAGCTGGCGGGACATGGGAGGAGTAGGAATAGGGAGAGGGTGATGTGGAAATGATTCTCAAAAAGAAGAATGAAATAAACGTCTTAAAATGCACAAATTGTATCGTGACTACAACCTGTAGATATTCAACAACAGTTGGCTTCTATGGTAGCTGTATTCCCAGCACTTTTCACTAGGGCAGCACCATGGGATTAGTTCTGGCTGTGTTGCTGTGAAACAAAGTGTTGGCCACAGCCTAGAAGAGTAGGGATCAGAACTCCACTAGGATCTCTGTCACCACAGCCCAGGAAGCCTTGTACTCCAATGAGGGGACTATTGGTGCAAGAGTCGACCACTAGATCCCCAGGTGACCACCCAGGGTGGGGCAGGCTGCCCTGAGGCAGCAATGTGTTTTCTCAGCTGATCAGATACTGAGATCTGGAAGGCGTTATATCCCCATAATCATCCTACTACGGACTCGTGGTACGGGGCAGCTGGAATGAAGAGAAATGGCAAAGTCTGTCTATCAACGTAACAAGTCACCCGCCAAGACCAACTGGAAAGGTTACACAAGTCCCGTTAATACTGCTATGATATGACATCATGACCAAACCTAGGGCCGAAAGGGTTTCTTTCGTCTTATGCTCCTGAATTATAGTCCATCACTGAGGAACGGCAAGCCGGGAACTCAAGGCAGGAACCTGGAGGCGGGAACTGAAGCAGAGACCGTGAAGAAATGCCGCTCAGTTATCTTTCGTCTACACCTCGTGGACCACTTGCCCAGCGATGGTATTGCCCTCCGTGAACTACTACATCAATCATCTATCAAGTAAGTAACCCAGAGACTTGCCTAGAGACCAATTGGATGGGCGTGGTCTCTCATTGGTGGCGCACTCTCAGGTGATCCTAGTTTGTGTTAAGTAAACAGAAACTAACCAGTACGGATGACTACATGTTGATAAGGTCACTAGGGTGTGGGGAAATCATGGAGAGAAGGGAATTGCATTTTGGGGAGATGGGCTTTCTAGACAAATGTCCCTCAAGGTCTTTGGGAAGGTGCTGTAGCCCAGACACGGCTAGCAGCAGCAGCAGGGGCATAACACTGGGTATCTAGAAGCAAATTGATGAGGTGTCTGATTGTGGCGCTAGTTACAGGGAAGCATGCTTGTCGAAATTCACTAACCTGAGCTTCAAAAACGCATGAATCTTGCCATTTATAAATTAGACCTCAGCACATACATCTTTCTGAAAAAAAAATGCTTTCACTTAATTAAAAAAGATTAAAGTTCAAACAAGATTAACTTCATCCGTTATCATATTAGCAAGGACTTGAAATGCTGATAATTTTCAGGCAACTTACCTTGAGAAATACAAGGTCATATTTCCGACTATATACTGTAGCTCACAAGTGGAGATTCAGTCTCAAGGAAACTATGGATACTAGCCAGTGCGCTCTCTCTCTCTCTCTCTCTCTCTCTCTCTCTCTCTCTCATGCATGTGTGTGTGAGTGTGTGTGCATGTGTGTGTGTGTGTGTACAGTGCTCAGGAAGGCCAGAAGAGAGTTTGGATCCCACGGAGCTGGAATTACAGGTGACACCGAGCTTCCTAACATGAGTGCTGAGAACCAAACTCCAGTTCTCTGCAAGAATAGCAAATACTCTTAGCCACCGAGCCATCTTTCAAGCCTCTTCATCAATTTTTATTTTTCGACATAAATATTTTATTAACTTTTTATGTAACATACACTTACTGAAAAAAATTAGATTCTAGCTTTCAAAAGAGAAAAATTGATGTCATTAGAAAGTATTATTTTTTATTTATATATTTAAAAAGCAAAGTATTAATCACAATAGGATCTACATGCTGGATAAAATTACTTAACATTAAACTGCTTTCTTGATCC